CAATTACATTTTAGGGTGCTTGGTTTAAATTCACTTTGGTCAGTCAGAGTCAAAAGTAAAAACAAACAAAATCTCTATATAATTTTATGTAGGCACTTGAAGCCTGTTTTATTCATTGTGTTACTGATTTATTGTACCTGATAATAATAAAGGCTTACCAAAGGTACATGTAAGACTGTTCTCAAAATGTGCTTTAAAGGTTAGTTAAGGTTATTATTAGTAAGATGATCAGCGACTGTTTGATTTGTCACCATCGGTTGCTTGGAGCAAAGCTCAGGAGGGCGAGCTGCGTATTCTTATCTCTGGTTCAGCAGGATACCTGAGTGATTATGGGTTATATGAGCCAAACAAAAGCAGCAAACAGCTTTTATAATCACTTCTGCAAAACTGAAAATAACTCTTGTAAGTAATTTATCTGCTATTGAATGTGAGCAGTCCTGCTTGAGCCACGGTTAGTTTCAGTTTTGCAGAAGTGATTATAAAAGCTGTTTGCTGCTTTTGTTTGGCTCATATAACCCATAATCACTCAGGTATCCTGCTGAACCAGAGATAAGAATACGCAGCTCGCCCTCCTGAGCTTTGCTCCAAGCAACCGATGGTGACAAATCAAACAGTCGCTGATCATCTTACTAATAATAACCTTAACTAACCTTTAAAGCACATTTTGAGAACAGTCTTACATGTACCTTTGGTAAGCCTTTATTATTATCAGGTACAATAAATCAGTAACACAATGAATAAAACAGGCTTCAAGTGTCCTACATAAAATTATATAGAGATTTTGTTTGTTTTTACTTTTGACTCTGACTGACCACAGTGAATTTAAACCAAGCACCCTAAAATTAAAACAAAGTCCAGTGTGGGCAGCACGGTGGCACGGTGGTTAGCACTGTTGCCGCACAGCAAGAAGGTCCTGAGTTCAATTCCACCATCAGGCCGGGGTCTTTCTGTGTGGAGTTTGCATGTTCTCCCCGTGTTTGCGTGGGTTCCCTCCGGGTACTCCGGCTTCCTCCCACCGTCCAAAGACATGCAGCTTGTGGGGATAGGTTAATTGGAAAATCCAAATTGTCACTAGGTGTGAATGTGCGAATGAATGTGAGTGCGAATGGTTGTCTGTCCCTGTGTGTTGGCCCTGCGACAGACTGGCGACCTGTCCAGGGTGTACCCCGCCTCTCGCCCTATGACAGCTGGGATAGGCTCCAGCGCCCCCCGCGACCCTGAAAAGGATAAGTGGAAGCGAATGGATGGATGGAAAGTCCAGTGTATGCTATTCCAGCTAGCATCTCCCCCTCCCACTGTATGTGCTACACAGTCTCAGTCAGGCTTTTTGTAAATGGGCACCTGTTTATGATGTCATGTTGGCTGTGGTATACCCTCTTTGGATCTGGTGCTCAGGGCCTGTTCCTGTCACGATCAAAGCCTCTGTGCTGGCCTGTCCAACATTAATCAGCATCAGCCAGGCTCAGAAACCTTTTGAGCCTGGCTGATAGAGGTGTGCTGTCCGAGATGACGTCTGCTTTCATCTAAACTGTTTCTAAACTTTATCTAGATGTTTCCTTGCTGCGTTGAGCTTATGAGGCACAGATGCTCCACGGTGTGGTTGAAAACACCTATTGGATGGAGCCTGCCTATTTGCCTGACTCGCTGTCAACTTTACTCAATAATGCGAGAGGTGGAATTGCTTGTATATTAAAGTGCTTTGAGAGTTTACAGAGTAATGTGATGAGCTCCCGATTCAGACTCTTAAAACATCACAGGCTCTAAGGCAACAAGAGAAAACTCGTCGTGCAGCGGTCAACAAAAACTACAACAGACAGAGCTGTGAGAGTGAAGATATGAAGATATTAAATGGCCTGTATTTATATAGCACTTTACTAGTCCCTAAGGACCCCAAAGCGCTTTACATATCCAGTCATCCACCCATTCACACACACATTCACACACTGGTGATGGCAGCTACATATTACACAAATTAAACATATTTACATGTAGAATGAAAAGAACCTTGTAGCTTGACTGTCTAAGTTAGTACAAGTACAATCAGACTCATGAAGGAGGCTGAGATTACATAATTGTTGTTGGAACTGAAAAAGAGGAAAACTGTTAGAAAATGCATCAGATCCACATCTATTTGTGTTTGAGCGCCCTCTAGTGGAATTTGCTTTGATATGACAGACTTTAAATCAACATAATAAATATCAACTTTCTTTAAAAGTCAATTAGTTATATGGTACCCTGGAAAAACCCCAATCTTTGAGGAAAGCTTGATATTCAATCCAAATATTCTGAAAATATGTCAATAATTGTGATTTGTGTTTTAAAAATGTCTCAGACGGCGAC